TCTTCTAGAACATGGCCACACAACCCGAAAAACCCACAAAAAACTAATACAAATATGTTAGGGATAATGGGATAGGTTTAATTTTTCTGAACCTTAAAAAAAAACTTCAAGTAAAAATAGTTTGTCTAGCCAGGACAAAAACATGCCAGGCTCTGTTTAACTAATGGACAAAGTTGAGATAGGAGTTGAGCTATGGAAGGATTTATTGTTACATTCCAAATTAATTGCAAGGACAGCATTTCTTTTTAAAGGTAATCAAGAGGTCACCAAATGGGTCCAGACTGAGTCTGCGTAATTGACTCATATATAATTTTGAAACCTTCCATGCATAAATTATCCCTATTTTAAATGGTCATGAGATATATGAAGAGATATGTTGTGGGTTGGGCTTTTACATACATGAAAAAGGTGGTCTTCAAATTGATCATATGTCTTAACTAACCCACAATGTTATGGGGGTGGAAAAATAGTGCCAGGGAAAGGGAATAAAACCATGCTGTGTCAAATGTGGGGTGTGCCTACTTGCCTAGGACATCCCTTCTTGCAAGAATGTTAACTAATACATTGGAAATTACTGCTTCATTTGTTTTGTCCTAATTAATTTGATTTGGTACCTTGGTACTTAGGAAAAAACTGGCACGCATGCCATAGCTCCACCAACACAGACATAGAGGCTATATCCTAACCTAGCTAATTTTGGAGGGCATGCTGAGAGATGGGAGTGCAGGGAAAGAGGAGGAACAGGCACACTCCTGTTCGTCCTCTTCTCTCCATCTTCTTGTGCCTTCAACTGCCTCCCCGGTGTCCAGGAAAGCGGCCAAGTATGCTGATAGCCGTAGTCAAAGCAACACAAAACAAAACTGTGTGCAGAGCTAAGGCAGTCAAAAGCTCTGTGCACACAAACAGTCATAAAGCAAACATCTTGTAGAAACAAACCCAAGGGTATAACCAGACAAAGTCCAGGGTTCCAGAGAAAGACGAGTCGTATAGGCAATCCAAGGTCAAGGAGTCCAGAGAGACAAGGCAAACCAGCAGTCTGAATATCAAGGTTTCCAGCCGAGGAGACAAGAAGAGTCAGTATCAAGCATGCTTTCACTAGGAAGCTCAGATAATCACTGACAACTATTCTAGCATCCGGCACCTGTTTATATTATCAGACCACAGGTGCTCAGCTGTTGCTGATTGCTCAGCATTTCTCATAAAGCCTCCTCAAGCTCTGGAGGCCCTCCCTTTCCACTCTTCGTTGGTTGAACAAAGGTATGGTCCTTTCTCCCTCCTCCATCCCTGAAGGCTTTGCTGCTGGAAGGCTTGGCTGCTGAGCCTCCTTGGGGGGCCACTGACTCTGCTGGAGCTGGCAGGGCAGAACTAGGGCCAGACTCAGCTTCAGGCTCAGGTCCAAGTTGAGGCTTAGCTCAGCCTCCTCGTTCTCAGCCAGGTAGGGCATGACAACCGAAGACATCTGAAGGCCTGTTCCTCTTCTTCCCTGCTGTCCCAGGCCTTCAGCTGTCTCTAGAGGAGGTCTCACCATCACCCCAGAAGCAGAAGCCCCCCCTGGAAGGCAGAAGTCCAGGCTGGCAGAAGTCCCCCCCCCCCAACACCAGGTAATACCTGGTGCCGGAACCCATTTAGGTTTGGACACTCGGTCTCTAAAAGTTCACCATCACTGCTCTATGTATATAGATAGACAGATTAAAGCCATTTGTAAACTTTTGTTTGAACTGCAAGCTACCTGTGTTGTTTTTGAGTCAGTCTTAGTTCTTAAGAGATGAATAGTTAGACAAGGACATTTTTCTGCAACTCTCCTGATTTATTTTTTTATTGTATATATTTATTTATTTTCAAATAAAAAATAAATAAAATAAAAAGTATATATATAGATATGAGTTCTGCCATTTGCTATTAATTCATAGTGAGTCGGTTTCTTAACATAATATATATCACCTTAATGTTATATAAGTCCACGACATATTTCAATAAACATTCACTTTATCACAGCTTCTATATTCTTCTATTTATGCCCACATTAAAATTTACTCATGAAGTTGTTACCGTAACACAAAAACTTATAACAGTTATGACTTCCTTGCAGTACTTATTGGTTGAGAGCAAAAAAATTCCCTATTTTGTGCCTCACTTAATATACTCATTACTTCCATACTCTAAATTCCTTATTTATGTGTTGTTTTTGTGATAAATTGTTGACTTCCCACATAGTTCAAACTCATTTCTTATAATTGAATTGAGTTGTTGGGTGCTCTTGTATAAACAACTTATATTCTTTTCCCTTAGTTCTATTCTTTTTCATTCCTATACTCCTTTACTCAAATTTCCACCGCATTACTAATTCAATTGTGCAACTTTCCTGATTTAAAGCTCAATCCTAACAGGTTTGGCTTTAATATTTAAACATTTTTGTTCCCTTAACAAAGGCTGTAACCTTAGGAAACTTGAATCGCCCTACAAAAAACCCCCAAAAAACCCCAATTCACTTTCAGCAGGCTTTTAGGCCCCTCTGGGTCATTTTAGTTCAGTTGAGGCCTTTTTCCAAAATAGAAAGTACGGTAACTCGACTTCACTTCCAGTTTACTTTTGTTTTTTTAAAATGACATTCCTGGGCCTAAAATGGCCTAAAACATGACAAAATGTTCCCACATCCTGTAGATGGCATTTTGGGGTATATTTTTGGGCTATATCATATTGGCATTTTGGGGTATATCTTGGCCCTGGGAGCTACAAAAATGACCCTGAGGGGCTGCATGTGCCCCACAGTGTGGTACAACTACTTTGACTGAATAGGTATCTCCAAAGCCAGACACAACTGCATCCAAGGATTGAAAAAGAAGTTGCACATGAAAACTGACACTCAATACTATCCCCAGTAAATACAAGTTATAGTGTGCCCTTAGT